CATGCCCTTGCTGCCGGATGTCGTCCAATGCCTTGTTGCCTCGCCGCCGTTTCCCGTATTGCCTTTTGCTTTGCTGCTTTATCTTTCTGTGCTGCCCACCCGCCTTCCCCATGCCCTCCAGCCATGTGCGCTGTTGTTTATTGGCCTATGCCTTGTTGCTTCTAGCCTAAGTCTTTTCATTGAGTCTATGGCTTATAGAAAACAATTACTAGGGAACCGGTGGAACAGAATTGTGAACTGTTGATGTATCTTTCGGCCGCATCCTTGATGAGTCAATGGCATGGAGTGCACGCCATATGTGCTGGAGAGTCATTTATTGTGTTTCTACACATGCTTTCGCACACATTGAAACACACAGGTTTGTGATGCACAGATTTAGTTAAGCTCCACGGCCAAAAATCCACTTTTCTCTTGAACAGTGCACAGGCCGTTACTTTCAGAACAGTCACGGATTCATGGAAAACAGAAGCTGCAGCGAAAGACATGGCAAGTGGATGGACAGCATGGCAGCGAAGCAGCGCAGACAAGACAGTCCGCACGTCCGACAAGGACCAAAGCAATCCATCACCTACTTAAACCGCAAGTTGAACCCCGCAGACTGTTGGTTCCCACCACCTGCCTAGCCGGGGAGTCACTGTGACGAACGTCCATCATCACCCATAGGACACAGAGACATCCCAAACAGAGTGGCCCCCTAATAGTGCTGCAGGCACTCCAACCTATCTAGAGGTGCTAGGTTAGACAACCGGAAAGTACTTTCTCCACAGTTTTGTTTGAGGAAATTGTCAGCCTAAAGTAAGTATGCTGATATTAGCGTAAGCAGGTTCCACTGAGAGCAATCAGCAGGGCTATTACGAAAAGGGCACCACCTCACAACTGGAAAATCGAGCACATGCTTTCCCACTCGACCAGAGTCACAGTCCAATGCGTTGCACAGTCTTAAGGAAAATGCTTGAGAAAGGAGATGGGGGCCTCGTATTTAAAGTAAGTACGTTTGCCACCTTGTTGCCTCCCTGCGCTTTGCCTCATTGTCTTTTGCCTTTTTTCCATCTTCTGTGTTTGTTTTTGATGTGTTATTGTGTGTGTTCTGGATCATCCGCAAACTGCACCTGAAGCAAGGATACTGCATGCATGGTTCGACATAGTCATTCCCTAGGTGTCTGTTTCACGTCCAGTCTCTGAACTACATCTGAAGCCTAGGTTTATGCTGCTCTTATGGTTTGGCATAAGTCATTCCCCATGTTCCATTACCAAATGCGCATGTTCCATGCCTACAAGTTGTCATTCCTAAGGTGCGCTGATATGTGCAAGGAACATGAATATGGACGAAGCACAGAAATCCAAATTGCAAAATCACACTGAAGTCCAAGTAGTCACGGCAGGAGCAGATAGCACAATGGAACCGAGTAACCATCCATTTGAGAACGAAACAGAAGAATCGCGAGTCAATGTCCAAGCCCAATCGGGCAACACCAACAGCATAACCCAATGTAGATCTCTCTCTTGAATGGCGCCAGGCGCCCTACCTACTCTACAGCCTATCACTACAACTACAGCATGGAAGCAACCAGACAACTTGACGACCAGCGAGTGATGACGTCAACTCCAATGCCGACCTCCCCTCCACCAGGTACGTCTCTCTCTTCACCCTCACTCTCCCTTGTTATCCCACACAGCGCCCTTCACCTCCGAAGAACCACCTTCGCCCTTSACCTTCACTGCGCCCACAGGCAGCCCGRCTATGGCCGCCAGCGCCCTGCRCCCAGGCTGCGCTCTACCGCTTAGCGCCAGCCTGCCCTCACTCAGCCTAGCGCAGCGCAGCACACTCGCAATGCAGCAGCGTGCCGGCCTTGCTCGCAATGGCCAAGATCCCTGCCCACTCGCCCTTCCTGCCTATATGCCAGTGTTGCGTGTGGGTGGCCTCCCTTGAGCCTGCGCCTGGGCCCCAGTACCGGTACCCAGGCCCAATGCGGTTGGGGCCCAGGAGATGCAGTTGCGCCCCTTTCATCAAGGCCTGCGGCCAGATTCAGATAGTGGACCGGTTTCCCATTGGCATTTTCAGCCTCTATATCCAGCATGCATTGTCGGCCTCACGTTTATGTGCCCAGGGCCGAACCAATTCTGGGGCCCTGGGATTTCTGCGTTTGCAGAGTTCCGATACTCGGTGCACTCCAACCAACTGGCGTGCGGCAACTGTATGGACCCCACTTCGTGAAATGTTCGAACAAAGGGCTCTTGTTGATTTGCTGGCCCGCCTTCACTTAGGGCGGGCACGAGGCTTGCTGGGGTCCTTAGCCCAGAACATGTACATCACGGCAAGGCCCCTTTTGAGGGCTCAATCCTCACATTCCATTCCCCTTAGCTTCGAAAGTCCGCTGAGATGCTTACTTCGCAGGTGCCTTCCCTTTTAACAT